TTTGAGCCAATAAACCAGCACATTTCAAGCAAATATTAGAAAATATTCATGGGAAATGAATGTTGAAACTGCTGTCTGAGAACATTTTTACAAGGGAGCTTATTCTAAGTATTACAGTTATCCAGTGGGGAAACTGAGCTGTATCATGGGTTAGATGATGTCTTGGACTACATAGCCATCCAAAGGAGGGAGGGAAATAAGGACCAGTCCCCCTCCAGCTCTGCAGAGGAGTAAGCAGGTGCTACATGCCTGCTTACACATTCCTGGAGCAGGTAATGGGGACTGTCTAGGGGGAAAAGGAAATGATGGATCCAGGAAGCCACTGGCTAATGCAAATGGGCAGAGCCCTGTGGGGATACAAAATTTTGTAACTGCATCCACAAAAATGATCTGTGGTTATCCCCATCCACAGGGCTTGACAAATAATGCAGTCTACTCGCCCGTGGTGAGTAGATTGCAACCCAGAAGAGCCAGGTTCAGGTGATCTGTGCATGTGCAGATCGCCGGACAGCGCGGCTGACGAGCGGCCTGCCCATCCACATCAGTGAACGCGGATACCCATGGATATAAAGCAGATACCCGCACATTTACAGGGTTCTAGATACAAAATTTGTATCCACATCTGCAAAAATGAGCTGCTGATATCCACATTCACATCAATGGATTTGCAGGGCTCTCCAAATGAGCCAGTACAAGCAGTATCCTAATTTGCTGCTGGGCTGGGTCAGGCCACCAGCAGATTACCACCTCTTCCCTGTCCAGAGCAAGAGAACAGCAAGTAGAATAGCAGGAGGGCAAGGGATTGCAGAGAGTGTCCTACATTTTAATTCCTCTCCAGCACCACTTAAAGTTTATTTACCTCAAAATAAACTATGCAATTTTCACTATGCACATTATTTCAAAAGAGCTTATTTTGAAATTTGGCATTGTCTACACAGTGCCAAATTTCAAAATAAGGCACTATTCGGACAAATCCCTTAACCCTCGTGAAACAAAGGTTACAGGGATGCCAGAACAGCACACCCGTTATTTCGAAATATATTTTGAAATAATGGGCGCGTTTTTAAGACATGGAATTGCTATTTTGGGATACTTCCAGTATCCCAAAATAGCCCCACTGTCTAGACGTAGCCTTAGGGATGATAGATAGCGATCTATTGAATAGTTAGGTAACCACATCAAATTTTAGTGGTTACACGACCATTCAGTAGTCCCTGGGGGCACGACCGGTAGCCAGTGTGTTCCCAGCCCCATTCCCAGGGAGCCACCTGCCATCCCACACTGCTGCCTCTGTATCAGAGACAGCTGTGCAGGGTGGCACACAGGAGCTGAGATAAAAAAGTATTTAAAAATCAGCTCCCCATGCAGACTGGCTCCACCTGCTGGCCCACACTACTGCCTCTGATAAGAGACAGCAGCATGTGGTCCATGCTGCACCCCAGCTCCCACGGAGCAGCCTCTGCTCATGGTGAGCCTGGGCCTACTGTGGACAGAGGCTGCTCTGCGGAAGTATTCCCTGCCCCACACCTTACCATGCTGCTGCCTCTTGGGGTGTGTCTAGACTACCTAGTTTTGTCGACAAAAGTGGACTTTTGTCGACAAAACAATACCAGCGTCTACACTACCGCGGAGTTCTGTCGACATAACGTCGACAGAACTCCGCAGTTTTGTCGACGCTGGTATACCTCATTTTACGAGGCATAACACTTTCTGTCGACAGAACTCTGTCGACAGAAGGTGTTATTGCCTGTAACGTTGCGTCCAGACTACGGAGTTCTGTCAACAAAGCGGCTTGCTTTGTCGACAGAACTCCATGTGTCTGGACGCAAATTGTTGACAGAAGTTTTGTCGACAGTATCTGTCGACAAAACTTCCGTCGACAAAACGCGGTAGTCTAGACGTACCCTAATAGAGGCAGCATCGTTGGGGGAGGGCAGGTGGCTCCTCCTCAGCACTTGCTCCTGCCTGTCCCCTCTTCCCCCCACCCACTGCCTCTGTGGGAGACAGAAAGGGGAGTGGGGGAGGCAGATTTGTGGAGCTGGCACATGAGAGCCGGCTTAAAAGCCAGCTCCCTGAGCTTGTACTGGCTCCAGCCTGCCCCTATCCCTGCACTGCTGCCTCGGATAGAGTGGCTGCATGTGCAGGGAGCTGACTTGAAAGCTTGTTTCCTTCATATATCTGCTCCCGCCTGCCCCCATTACCCTCCACGCTGCTGCCTCTCTATGGGTATGTCTACACTAGCTCCCTAGTTCGAACTGGGGTGGCTAATGTAGGCATTCGAACTTGCAAATGAAGCCCAGGATTTAATTATCCCGGGCTTCATTGGCATGTTCCCGGGCGGGGCGCCATTTTTAAATCCCCTTAGTTCGAACTGACTAAGTCCACCCCAGTTCAAACTAGGGGACTAGGGGACTAATGTAGACATACCCTATCAGAGGCAGTACTGGGGTGGGGAGAAGAGGGAAGGTGACTTCATAGAACTGGTAATTGTGGGGAGCCAATTTAAAAGCTGGCTCCTCACAGGCACTGGCTCCTCCTCTGCCCTCCTTTGATGCCTCTGAAACAAAGGCAGCAAAGGAGGATGTGTGTAATCAATAAAGTTAACTGATAAGCTCAAGCTTATCAGTTAATCGTGTTTTCGACTACACGTTGACATCCCTAGGGCCACTCCTGGGATGATACAGCTTCAGGGCTGCATCTAAATTCACAGGCCTTTGGGTCCTAGATGATCATCCAGGCAGGCTGTATTTTGAATACTTGTACCAGGCAGCTCACATAGGAGCAAGAGACTACAAAAGGGTTCTGCTAGTCTTTCTGAGTCATGGGTGCATTCAAGAAAATTGCAATCTGCACAGGAATAATTTGCAAAGAGAAGGAAATAGGAAAGGAAATATTCGCCAGATTAGTTATTCCTTGCAATCATTCACCCGTCTCTACTTTAGACCACATGGCCTTCATGGGGGCCACAAGAAAATTCCTGGCAGGCCACATTTGCAGTAGAAACTCAAAAACACACTGAAATCTGAGAAACCCATAGGGACACTAATTGCCGTTTTCTCCATTACACAATTGCACACAGTTTCTTCTTGTTGTTCTTCCAGTGCAGATGAAACTTGACTGTGCAGCTGTTGTGAGTTGTGAAATATATTTCCAAGAGGATCAATTAATTAGGGTTTCACAAGACTGTATTTAACGAATAAACAGACCAAGAAAGTAACAATTCTTGTCTTTTTTCCAAACATGGAATGAAAATATTCAGTCACACTGGAATGTAATAGAGAAAGTGCTCTTTCAGCATGCAGATGTGCAGCAAAAATAGCCTTGTTATATGTTCTTTTGCATAGTTGTATGTACTCAATGTACTTTTAAAGGCTTGGAGGGACAAGTGCCATGGCATAAATTAATGTCAAAACAAATGAAGTAAAATGACCAGGAAGATAATCAGTTGTAGCATTGCTGATCTGTTATTGGCTATCTAATTATCTTTGGGAAATTGTGCTTTCAGCATGCAGGCCTTTTATCTTGAATTGGTATTTCTGTTACAACTACTGAAGTGGGTCAATAATCCAAGGAGCAAAAGGTGTCTGGGTCACATACTGTACCGTATATTCAACCAGGCTGTTCAGTTAATTTCAGTGGGCCAGATTCAATTGTTCTGATAAGAGTTAAACCAGGGGTGAATTTGGCCCAGTGTTATCACATGGAAACTATGCACTTCAGTACAAAACAGATTTACACCTGCGTTTAGCATTTGTGGCAGAACAACAGAGTGTGATTTTTTTTCTTTGTCTAGTCCAACAACCTTTGATGTCTTTAACAGACATTGTGTGGGCCAGATTTTCTGTCCTGGCTTCCTAATGTGGATCTTCAAAATCTGCATGTGCCAAGCCCTAGTATATGCATATTCAGGTTAGATAGGATATGTCTGCACTACAGAGTTTTGTCAGAAAAACAGCCGTTTTTTCCGACAAAACTTGATGACCGTCCACACTGCAATTGCATTCTTTCTCAAGTGAATTGAAAGAACAGAGGGGGTTTTGCGGCATTGGTAATCTTCATTCTACGAGGAAGAATGCTTTTTTGCAGAAGAGCTCTTTCGCAAAAAGGTGTGTGTGGATGGGGAAGATAGAGGTTTTTTGGAAGAAGAAAAAGCACAGGTGCCCTGGTGGCCATTCTGTCCATAGCAATCACTGCTTACTTGCAAAATAGCCTGGATGCTATCTTTTGAAAAAGCACATCACTTTTTTTATGTGCTTTTGCAGTGTGGTCTCTCTTTCGGAAGAAGTTTTTTTGGAAGATCTCTTCTGAAAAAAGCTTCTTGCACAAGAAGCCTGCAGTCTAGACGTAGCCATAGTGACAAGCACAGAAGTCTACTTCCCGGTGTGAACATGCATCCAGATTTTGCAAATGTACTGGATGTGCCTGCCTCTCCTTTGGGGCCCTGATCCTGTGAATATTTCCATACATGGATAGTCCCCTCAGAGCTCTGTGGGAGTACTTGTGCATGTAGTTGCAGGTACAAGGTGTTTACTGATTCTTTGGAGATGCCCAAGTTTTAAAATGGGGTCTCTATAGTTGATATTATATTTATTACAACTTCAATTTTTCATGACTACTTAGCAGATCAATCTCTCCCACACTAAATGCTTTGGGGAGGGGGAGATTGTTGTCTGACACCCTGACAGTGTTCTGCTCCCTTTCCTGCCCCACCTACGAAGGTTGTGAAATCTCCATCTCTGGAGATATTTAAGAGCAGGTTAGATAGACATCTATCAGAGATGGTCTAGACAGTACTGGGTCCTGCCGTAAGGGCGGGGGACTGGACTCGATGACCTCTCGAGGTCCCTTCCAGTTCTAGAGTTCTATGATTCTATGAATGTTATAGGTACTGAAAAGGAACACAGTCCTCGTGTGTCTTTCTTGTAATTAAAATAACTTCTGATGCAAAACATCACAGTGTGGCTCTATGATGAACCCATTCTCTTTTTTTTACTCTTCAGAAATCGAAGCAAAGGAAGCGTGTGACTGGCTACGAGCTGCTGGATTTCCACAATATGCTCAGCTCTATGAGGGTACGTGGTTAATATTTCTAGATGTCCTAAAGTCTATTGAACATCTTAACAGAGACAGACCTGGTCTGAAGAGTTTACAGCCTCACAGAGTTGCCAACTGTTGGGATTTTTATCCTGAATCTTGCAGTATTTCATGATTTTTCTTCGAACTCCGGCTCTTGGGGACATGTGAATATGTGAAAATCTCAGCTTCCCTGGTGGCAGATGGGGCACTCAGAAATTCAAGAATAAAAAAAAATGTTAGTGGAAAAGAAAACACAAAATATACAGAAAATGAATCTGAAAGTGCAAGCACTCTGTAAAGCTGGCTGTGAATCTTCTAACCTGAGCGTCCCATATTTGCTTGACCCTCAATGGAAGGCAAGGACAGCAACCGATTCCAACAGAACCGCTGCCCCAGAACTGGGTGGCGTTAGTGTAGCCAGCAGGGAAAAGTGGAGCACTTCTCTGGGTGGTTGCGTCTGGAGCTGGTGACTGGAGGCTTCTGTCCTCCCAAAACATCAGTTTGGCAGGTTCTCCAGGAGCCAGTGGCACAGCTTAGTTTTGCTGCTGTATACCACAGCACACTGGGGGCTGGGAGTGGCTTTCTCTTCTTTCCCTCCCATATAGCTCAAAATTGGAGCAAAATTACTGCTGTTGCCCCTACCTGAAAGTTGGGGAGTGGGGAAAAGAATGCTCCCCTCATTCTTCCCCAACTCAGTACCTGGCTTGTGATGAGCATCCACAGTTCCCTTAAAGTCCATGGGAGCCAAAGTTGCTCAGCATCTAATAAAGTCTGCTGGGCTACAGAAGCACAGTAATTCGGCTGCTTCCAAGTCACTTTTCATTACAATTCTCAGTGTCCAGCTCTTCCATCTTGTTTTTAAATTTCAGGGGAGTATTTGAGGTAACTGGTATGGTCAGGTTACTTCTCATCTGATGCTTAAGTTACTCTTTGTTTGAAATGTTTGCTGTTGTCGTGTGTTATGCTAACAAAATAGCCAAAACATTTATGCTGCATGGTAAAGTCTGTCTACCAAATATTTCAGCAACTCACTGAAGTATTTGTGGATGGTCTAATTGCCCATCTCAGTGACAAATGACGAATGTATGGTAATTCTCAGATCTCTTTTTGAGGGGTGGGGTTGGAATAGTGATTGGATAGAAACAGTAAGCACTTAAAAGTCTTCTTGTTGCCTGAGCCAAACATTATTTTTTTGGTTCACAGGATGTTAACTCCATACAGGGGTAATTAAAGCCAAGTTAAATAAAATAAATCACCATTTCTGTGGCTAAAACACATGCAAGGCATCTTCAAAATAAACTATTTCCATTTGAATAAAATGTACTTGCTTTAATACTGCCTCTCCTTGTTACAGATTCACAGTTTCCTATTAACATTGCAGCCGTAAAGAAAGATCATGATTTTCTCGACAAGGACCTTGTAGAACCTCTTTGCCGGTAAATAACATCAGCTGTTTCTATTTTTGGGGGATGGAGATTATCGTAAGAACACTAGTGGATTTTTGTTTTGAAAGTAGTGGCCCAGCTTAAGAGAAGTTTATTTGTCCTTTTCAATTAAACAGGCATAATAAATAGTATTTTAAAAGTACATCATAGAAACCTTGATTCATTTCGCACCCAAAAAATCCTACAGCAGGGGCCAGTTTTCTGTTTGAAAATTCACAATATTTTAAAAGGGCCCAAATCTATCAGCCCATCTCATCAATGGCTCATAGAAAGAACTGCAACAGCACACACAGCATAAATTAGAGAAGTGTGTGGGGGTAACATAGGAGTAACTCTACCCCGGACTATCATAGACAAACAGAAACCCCATTGCACAGAACCTTCTTCCCTCTGACAGTAAAGCTGGTCCACATGGCACTGTGCTGCCATTGGCTTCCTATTGTCATTTAATTGTAGTGCTACAGCACCTGGGAGCCCTAGTCAGTGACTAGCACCCAGCCCATTTTGCCAGCCACTGTATAAACACCCAGTTGCTGATGCTCCAGCTCCACTCTGCCAGAGAGTTAAAGTGTTTCTGTTTGTACAGTGTTTTGTTCTTTGCCTCAGGGACTGTGCCCCACACAGGTTTTGCTGTGCCCTGGCCTAACCTCTCCTGTGCTGTGAACCGTGGTAGTCCTGGAAAAGGACTTTTGGTGGAAAGGGAAAACTACATTGCAAAGGCACTGCTCCTCTCGTCCTTCTCCCATGCTCCTTTCGGCTGGGTTCTTCTCCTCTCCCCCTGTGTGAGGACAAGGGAGCACTAGGCCCATAATAAGGCAGGATCTACTACATGAAGCTTCAGCTTTCACAATGTCTGTAGGGTCCATCATGGATACAAAATTCTGTATCCGCACCCATATCTGTATCTGCACAAGTGAGCTATGGATTCCCACATTGACATTAATGGATGAGGATACCCGTGAATATAAAGTGGATATCTGCAGATTTGTAGGTTTCTAGGTACAAAATCTGTGTCCACATCCAAATGTGCAAAAACAATTCATGGTTTTGGATGTGCAGATATGTGTAGATATGTGCAGATATGCAGGGCTCTAAATGTCATATCATATTATGGCTGTATGTAATTATTGTTTTCTCACAGTATTTTTGGGGTGGGTTTTTTTTGACATTTTATTGGACTAATCCAGTGGTCCTCAAACTCCAGGCTGGCACAGAGGAACATGTGGCATGCATGCAGTGGGGCCATCCCCCTTGGGGGGGCTGAGGAGGGAGCACCATCCAACCCCACTCTGCCCTAGAATCATAGGACTGGAAGGGACCTCGACAGGTCATCAACTCCAGTCCCCTGCAGGACCATGCACCATCTAGGCCATACAGGCAAGGGCAGAATCATTATTGTGCAAGCAGTTTAATTGTTTGGAAGGATATCTTTGCAGATCCCAGACATTCACTGTAATATGATCAGCTCTTAGTTGAGAGCCATTGGGTGCATATGGCCGTGTCCATATTTGTGTGTCATGTTCCATGCACAGAAACACATTTCTGATAAATTTCTATGGTAAATTGGGGCAAAGAGAACCTTGCTGGCCCACAGCTATACTTAGTGTCTCCAAAAGGAGAGGTCTCATACCCAACAAGAAAGCCTCGCACAAAGAATTACTGTCAGTAATTGTGAAACTGACCTCATGGGACTTCTGTGGGACAGGGGAAGGGTCAGTTTTTATTTCCCTTTATTCAGTGGCCCATATGAATGAGCGTGCTCAAGTTCAAAATTCTAGTTCATCAAGAACAACAAATTGTGTTGGTCAGTCACACCCAAACATCTGTATTTTATTAGTTATCTAATTATATTTTTCAAAACCATGCAATACGCTCTTACCCTCCACAGCTTAACTGACCATCCTAGGCAAGGTCCAGGCCCTCTCAGTGCTCTGTGAAGACTGGGGTATTACTACAAGATACATTCTGGGGTGTCAAACAGGAGCCAGCTGGCCACGACAGCCGCTTGTAAAATGGAAAATAAAAGATGTAAACTATTATTTGTGTGTGCTGAACATCCCTCAATCTCACATTCCTTAGACACCCAGAACTCCCACTGACTTCAAAGGAATGCATGACCAAGCCTTGAGACTGATTAGCGTGACATTCAGCTCAACGGCATAGATTTTTCATTTGCAGCTGAGCTATCAGAGCAGCTCTTTAGAACGAGCAGAGTTTGAATTCTGGACCATCAGCCATCTTACATGGACTTTTACTGCTTGAGCTTAAGCTCTGAATTTCTCGGCTTTTGTGGACAGAAGTCAGCCCTTTAACCTTATTTCAGTATTGTTGTTAGTGTTATAGTGTAAAAGAGAATGGGAGAGAAATCACAAAGAAAGCACTTCTCTTATAGGGCAGCTGGTAGCAACCTCTATTTGTAAAGCTTAATATTTATAAATTCTAGTGATCTTTTTAAAAAAAATTCCAGTCTAATACCCCTGGGCTATGTCTACACTGGGCCACTTATTCCGGAAAATCAGCTGCTTTTCCGGAATAAGCTGCGAGCTGTCTACACTGGCCCTTGAATTTCTGGAAAAGCAACGATGCTCTACTGTACAAAATCAGCCGCTATTGCGGAAAAACTATTCTGCTCCCGCTCGGGCATAAGTCCTTGTTCCGGAACACTGTTCCGGAAAAGGGCCAGTGTAGACAGCCCAGTAGTCTTTTCCGGAAAAAAGCCCCGATCGTGAAAATGGCGATCGGGGCTCTTTTCCGGAAAAGCGCGTCTACATTGGCCACAGATGCTTTTCTGGAAAAAGGGCTTTTCCGGAAAAGCAGCCTGCCAATGTAGATGCTCCTTTTCCGGAAAAACTGAAAACGGAATAGTATTCCGTTTTAAGCATTTCTGGAAATTCATGCCAGTGTAGACACAGCCCTGTTGTTTGCAGCAGGCCTTTGCAATTTGGCTAGTGGGGAGGGGGAAAGACTTCAGGTTAGAGGAGTACCTTTTCTTTTTCCACTTGATTTTATTCAGATTTTATTGAGGTACAAATGGTAGGAAATCATCATTTTCTTTCTCTTATTTGCATTCCCGGGGAAAAGATTTGTCAGATACAGAAAATAATAATTGAACATGAATTCTGTGGTTGGGCTGACTTCCACAGCAGGAACAACACACTGCTTTAGGAGGGCCCAGGAACTTCCAGAGTAGCTGTTGGAGGGAGAAAGCCTGATCAAGTTCCACTTGCCTTCCCTCTGATTCATCACATGGCCCCAGTGGTGGGCTAGGAGGGAGGGACGTAAGTACATCAAGTAGGATACTCTCTCAACTGGGGTGTTCTGGGCCTGGCTCTCATAACAGCTTTCTCCTGCTACTGCCATCCAAAATCACTCTTGTAACTCAAGTGGCATAAGTATATACTGCAGTGTCCAAAGTTCAGCCTTCAAGTCCTGCTTGTGAGGCATGGCAGAGGCTATTACATCTGGGTGTAATAGTTAGTTTTTACCTTTCTCCTTTCAGAAAAAAAAAAACCCTCAAAAATAACATGCAAATAAACTACTTTAAAATAATATTATTTAGGTTGCAAAGTCAAACACTTGAATGCTTGACTTTGCAATCTGAATACCATTCCATTAGCATATTGTTTGCATCTAAATATACTGACCAAGGTTCTTAAAACATATGTGTATGTTTTGAGTCTTAAACCAATGTTTAGGTCCCCCAATAAGACTATGTCTAGACTGCAGAGTGTTTCCATTTCTTTTTCTGAAAAAAAGACAGTCTAGACATAGCTTAAGTGTCCTTATTTTCAAAAGTGTGAAGCACTCAGCAGCCCCCATTGAGTTTAATCTTTTTAATTGTGGCCATTCAATTCTTTACATAGTTATTCTCTATTTCACAGCTAATAATTGCTCCAAGGGTCACTCTGTATAAATTATTATACTGGTAAGGATTTTAAAATGTGTAATATACTCAATATTCTACAGTGTTGTTACATAATTCCAGATGTTTTTAAAACTTGGGGTTTCATAAGAAACATTGTTCAAGGTGCTATTAAAAGATTAAGGCAGAGTAAGATCCCAGTCTAGGTCTATTAAAGGCTCCTAATACTTTCAGTGGGGGACTGAATGGAACATATAGCATGTTGTAATGTCTAAATACCTCGCTCTTTTACTGTAGAGCTCACAGAAAGGAGCTGGATTGATAGCATTGGAAAACAAAGTCTTGTGTGTCACCGTGGAATTGGTAGAGCAGACAGTGCAAGCTTTGGGGAGGATCTCTCTCAGTGTTCAGTCTCCTAGGCTGAGTTTCCTAAAATGGGATCAGATGTCCTCCTCCCATAGACTAACCCACAAGAGGAGACCAAGCTACTGGCAAAGTTTTGTGCAGATTGCTTGCTCCCTTGCAAAAGAGCTGATGGGCCAGACTTTAGTGAGGCTGAGTTTGCACAATCCAAAGTATCTTTGAGATGAAAGTGCCACAGAAAAGGGTGTCCCAGATCTGTAGAGGAATACGTGCCACACAATTTCACTTAGTGCCTCCTGGCAGCTTAGCTTCTGCATGAATTTGGCATGCCACTGGCTGGGTTCCCCTGCAGCTGCTACTGAGCAGCTGCAGCACAGACCCAGATGGAGTTAATACTGTTCTGAGCGACTTTAAGGATGTTTGAGGATAATCTGGAAGCTGTTTAAGCAGAACAATAGGCCACCCACTGGGCTGCCCTATTACACAGCTTCTGCTGTACTATATTATTCTTTATTTATTAATTACTGGTGCTGTGCATGTCCGAAAAAGGAAACAGTTCCCAAGTCTGGAGAGCTTACACTATGAAAGACAGGAACAGCAAAAATTGGATGCCTAGGTATTATATCATATTCATATAATGCTGATGATTCAAATTGCACTACCATTGTTCTGTGAAGAATACATTAAATTAACATCAGTGTCATTGTTTTATATTATGATTTGCAAGTTTTCTTCAAATACTGTGCAGCTTTCTTGACAAGTGTTATGATACATCCATAAATATTTTTAAGAGCCCAATCACCCTGAACTACATATAGGATTATTTATTTGGCATGTGGTTTTACTGTCTTTCCTTCAAGCTCAGATGTCATGTTTTGTTGAAGTTCAAAATACACGGCCCTCTCCCATGACTTGAGGCAGAAACTTGAAAGTGTAGGTAGTGTCACAGTGGCCTGTCTCTCTTTGAATAAGGCATCAGTGACAGTCTTTTTGTCATCTGAGTCTTTTGTTTCTGTGAGGGTTTGGCTGTCATTCATGTAATATATATAAGCAGATGGAGAAAGCTGTCTGCTGCCATTGGCACATCAACAGGATGTGAGAGGTTCAAACAGACTGGATTTAATTTGAGATGCCAGTAACAGGCAAGCTAATAAATCTGATCATTAACCCTCTATTTCACCAACAGAATCTTTTTGCACTCCTGGAAAACCCCCAGAAAGCACGTCAATATATTGTAGATGGGTAAATCTAAAATCAGGGGTTGTATTCCTGGTTCCTATTTGAAGGTAGTTCTGTGTTTCTACGGAGTGGGTTCAGAAAGCAGTCAGGATAATACCGTGGCCTTCTCTGTCACCAGTCTAGCTAAGTAATGAGATCAGCTCTTCCACTTCACTACTGAAGTAATCCTTGCGTTCTGATAGAGTCAGTGAAAAACAAATTGCTTTTATTTTCATTGTTTGTTTGATTGAATGATTTCACTGTCTTTCCACAATGGAGCTGAAGGCCCCTTTTAAAATATTGAGACAAATTGTTGCCTTTGGTTAGACCTAAGCAACGCCACATAATTCAGTAGGGTACCTGAATATAAATGAGGGGGGAAATGAAGCCATTTTCTGTAGGAACTTACTTCCCCATCTCTCGTGTATAATTATTTGCTCATTTGTTCTTCAAGTGCAGCTCGCATTGCTCAGCAGGCAAGAAGACATTTTATCCCTTGAATATATGATGTATCCTCTTTCTACTGCACTTTCTCCTCTCTATCAGTTGCAAATAGGCTCCTTTTTAAAACTATTTAGAAAGCTTCTGGTGAAATCGCCTCTTGGGGTGTATTGAGGAGCAAAGGTTGCACTGAACCTCTGCTTTGCAGCAGATACCTTTTCAGCACCCATTCTCCTTCAGACTTCTGGAGTTAAAGATTGACGACCTGATTGTCAGAGATGCAGAGCAATTTCAGAGGGAGCTACAGAGTCTCAGTATCCTCTGAATACAAGGTCAGGAGTTCACATCTAAAAACTTGAGGTTCTAAGGCCAGGTTTACACTCAAGGGAAAGGTTAAATTAAGATACGCAACTCCAGCTACATGAATTAATGTAGTTGGAGATGATGTACCTTAATTCGAATTTCTCTGCTGTCCCCACAGCGGGAGGCCAATGGGAGCAAACACTCCCACCAGCTTCCCTTACTCCTCGCAGGAGCGGGAGTACCGGACATCGATGGAGGCATACTCTGAGTTTGATTTAGCGTGTCTTTACTAGATCTGCTAAATTGAACTCCGGAAGATGGATTATGGCAGCGTTGAACTTCCCCCTAGTCAAGCCATGATCTCAGTTAGCTACCTGGTACAGCAACCCAGAGAGATGATTTTGCAGGAATGTACCAGTTTGCTCCATTCTGAAGACACAGTGAAAATATTACAACTTTATTTAGATAGGCTCTAGGTACTAAGCTAGTGAGTATAAGTGGGGAATAGTGGCAGCTTCTCTTCCTCCTCCCTCATTTTTCCCCAAAAAAGGACTGAATCCCAAGAAGAAGGAGGTACCTCCTTCAAGGTGGGCAAGGGCTTATGGCAACCCTTCTTGACATTTCTTATTGGCTAGGTTAAGCGACTCCCCACTCAGCGTGCTAGCTCTCGTGATTGCCATTCTTAAGCAGCTAACTCTCCCCATGCAGTGTATAAGTAGCCCAGGTGCTTAACTCACAACTGAATTTCCCTAGGTGTCAAGGTGCCTAAAAGTGAGGCTTTGAAATTCTGACTCTAAATCTCCTTTGTGGATCTGGCCCAAACTGCCTAAAGTGAAGAATCAATTTTGAAATATACGTCTTGTGGTTCTAATAAGGCCCTTGAGCTCTCATAACATTTGTTAGAAAGGGGTTTTAGAATGATAACATTCTCCACACAGTGGGCAAGTCACCTCTGCTATCTGTGCCTCATTTACCTCAGCTGTAAAATGAGCTTAAGGATCTTTATCACCTTTATAAAGTGCTTTGTGATCTGTGGATGAAGAGCATGATATAAAGAGCTAGGCATTAGATAGTGACAGCAGTGATATGAACCTTCTGATGTGCAAATCTATCTCATAGAACTAAATAAAGTATAGTGAATTCTGCTGTGTAAAGTTACAACCTCCTAAGCAGATGAGAGAGTAAGTTTTAAAATCATGAAAAGTCATGCCTGTGAATGAGGCGGATGCTAATCTTTGGGTTTTGCTTCACCTCTAGACGACTGAACACATTGAACAAGTGTGCCTCAATGAAACTCGATGTGAACTTCCAAAGGAAAAAGGCAAGTAAACATTATGAAAACCTCTGGGTTTTGTTCTTAGCAATGTAGTGAGAGCTCCTGCACTGAGGCTCCAAGTCATGCAAACACTCAAATTTAAGTTAATCATGTTTAACTCTAAGCATGTGTTTAAGTGCTATTCTGAATAGGGATGGATTCCTGAATCAGGGCCTTTAAATAGGAATTGAAAATAAACAGCTATGATTAGTACAGCAGGGTCATGGACATATAAAGTAATTTAAATTGTACATATGTTCATTTCCAATCAAGAGGAAAGGGTCTTGGTGTTATAGTGTTGTTGTCATATTTCTCATGCCACGTGATCACATAATGGAAAATCCTTCCAGGAAAAAATGGAAGCTCCCGTGTAAACAATAGCTTTTTTCTTATTTCTCATGCTGACTTACTACCAGTTAATAGTATAAAAATAAACCATTCCATACTTACAACCTTCTTGTGTAAGACAGGCAATATTTAAGGCTTTAAGGGTTTCAATAAGAAATGCAGAAAATGCTTATTGATTTTTTAAAAAATGTAACAGATCCAGCGTAACAGTTTTTAGTTTACTCATGACATTGGTCTCCGGGCACTTTATAAGCAACAACATATAACGAAAATCATTGGTTCTGAGAGCTGTCACTTTATATCGGTGGTTCCCAACTTTTTGAGCATACGGACTCCTTTTCAATCTATTAAAATTTTACAGACACCTTCCTCACAAGAACATAGCTATTTTCAAACATTCCATTACTTGATAATGCGGCGTCGGTGCTGCTTCCTCAGTTCCTAGCCCCTCCAACTCCTACCCATCCACAGAGGATATGGCAAGGGGGCTCTTGTGGCCAAAGGCAGCTCCTGCCCTGGCACTCTGCCCTTGGCTGGGCATGGAGCCCTGGGGGAGAAAAAAAGAGAAAAGGAAAAGGAAAGTAAGTATCGGGCCCACCGTAGGGCTGGGAGAGGGCTGGAGTGTAAACAGCAGTGCAGCTGGTAGCAGGAGGACAGATGGTCAGAAAAGGTGAGCCCTGTGTGAGAACCGCCTGGCTGAAAGTCCCAGTCCCGAGGTGGGCCCAATCCTTACTTTTAAACTTTCTGTGGACTCCCTTATAGTACCGTCACGAACCACCAGGGGTCCACAGACCACAGGTTGGGAACCACCGCTTTATATCATTTTCCCCTTCAGAATGTTTCTCTAACAATTTTTAAAACTGCCTATATGAGGCGTTCCTCTTGATACCACTGTCAGGTTAATCTTTTTGTATCCTGTTGTCTATGTACAGGAATTCAGACAGAAGCTGCCAGATATTTTCTTACCTTCTATTCATGCCAAATTGTTCTTGTATGTGACATTCATCAAACAGCTTGTCCTGCATCCATTATGGCCATTCTCTTCCAAATAGTGTCTCCACAAGTGAGGTTTCATGGGGATTTCCTGCCTTTGATAAGTGCATGTAACTTCCATGTTAAATACCTGTTCTGGCCTCTCTAGAACAGAGAGTGCCAACCCACCAAGCTGTGTGGTGGTTCTATGATTTGGACAGATGTGTGCTACTGGAAGAAAATCAGCTCAACCAAACTCATTTCATTCTTGGAAATGTACACCCATATTTCCAGTGGTGAAAACCTAATGCACCAAGCCCACTGCACCATCTATCTGTAACAGGGTTTATTTATTGTAACAGTCACTCTCACTTGGCAGCCAGATGCTGCTCCACACATGGGCCACTAACTTATTCCCTGCCCCCACATGCCACTGAAAATCATCTTACGTGCCACTTTTGGCATGCATTCTGGACATTGCCAACCACAGTGTAGTACAACCAGGGAGCCCAGTGTATAGAAAGGAATGGCAGCATCAGGCATATCCCATGAGGAACCATGAGGACATTACAGAATAACATTTTTTACATTTTTGATTTTCCAAGGAAAACTAGCAATTTTCAATGGAAAATTTCAACACAACTGAGCTTTGCTCATTTTCACTGCAAAGTTCCGGGGGGAGGGGCAGGGAGTGAATCCATTTTCCAGCCAGGTCTAGTCAGCAAGTAATCCTGGCTCTGTTGTGTTAACCATTGTTGGCTCCATATTAACTTCCCTTGCATGTCACACTCACCTGCTCCCCAAATTCTCTTACATAGTTCCCACCACTTTAGCTTTATTTGCTTGGGTTTTAAGAACACAGGGACTGGATCCTCATCTGGTGCAAATTGTCATAGCTCTGATGACTTCAGTCTAGCCTTCACATTTTATACCAGCGGAGGATGTGCTTCAGTGTCATTTATTATGTTTGTAGTGTATCTTACCATTTTATTATTGTATGGTTCAGGGCCCTTAGCATGTAGGCAATGGACTGTTTTAGAATGGCTGATGAAATTCAGTGCTGATAAATGCAAAGTAATGAACACTGGAAAATATAATCCCAATTCTAAATATAAAATTATGGGGTCTAAATTAGCTGTTACCACTCGAGAGAGAGATCATGGAGTCATTGTGGATAGGTCTCTGAAAACATCCCCCCAATGTGCAGCAGCCGCCAAAAAAGCAAACAATGTTAGGAATTATTTAAAAAGGGATAGCAAATAAGACAGAGAATATCTTATTAGCTCTATATAAATGCATGGTATGCCCACATCTTGCAGATGTGGTTGTTAGCCTAATCTCAGAATAGATATTGTAGCATTGGAAAATGTTTAGAAAAGGGCAACAAAATGATTGGGTTATGGAATAGCTGCCATATGCAGAGAGATGAATAAGACTAGAACTTTTCAGCTTAGAAAAGATAAGACTAAGAAGGGATATTATAGAAGTTTATAAAATCATGATTTGTGTAGATAACACAAGAACTAGAGGGTCACCCAATGAAATTAATAGACAGTAGGTTTAAAACAAACACAAGGAAGTATTTCTTCACACAAATTCACAGTCAACCTGTGGAACTCCTTGCCAGAAGATGTTATGATTGCCAAAACTATAATACATTTTGAAAAAGATCTATATAACTCAGTGGAGGATAAGTCCATCAATGGCTGTTAGCCAAGATGGGCAGTAGTGGTGTCCCTAGCCTTTGGTGACAGATGCTGATAATCAGTGATAGGGAATGGATCACTTGACGATTACCTGTTCTGTTCATTCCCTCTGGGGCATCTGGCATTGGCCACTGTCAGAAGACAGGATACTGGGTTAGATGGACCTTTGGTCTGATCCATTATGGCTGTTCTTATATGCTTATAAAATAATGGTTAAAATATTTAAAGTGATTACACGAGTGTTGTTTTAAAATATTCCTGGTGTGACACTAGTAAGATTATAACAGGTGGATTTTTATAAGTATCTCACTTCTTTTCAGTCCTTCTCCCCTTGAACTCCCCTTCAGTAACAAGTTGTCACGAGAACCAGACAGAAAAGACCAATGTAGGATCAGCAGCTTCTATCTTTTTTCTGCTGCTTCTCTAGCTGCTAAATTGTTTTCTGGTCATAGCTGCAGAACTGAGGCATTTACTTCTGTGCACTCACATCAGCTACAGAATAAATTTGTGCTGTATTTTATACATAATTCTGAAATTATTATAAACTGTTTTTTTCTGATTTTGCAGCTTTATTTTATTTTATGATTTGGACAAAATATAAAACTGATGTGTCGGCCTTTATGTGATGACCCAGCAAAGACTTACAGCAACAATATGGCTTGAGAGTGATCTGCCTCTTTACTAATTACAACTCAATGTATATCTTTCAAACTTCAGTTAAATTTAAGGCTAGAAGATTTACCTGGCATTGCTCAGTCCTTAACTCAAATAAGTTTTGTTTCTCTTCATTTAAATCATTGTTCTAGGGTTGGAGCTGGGGATGAGGGGTACAGTATGCAGCCTGTCCTGGCGAAAGGGGACAAACCTAGCCCTTTCTCACCGCAGCAGGTTGGGGCCAGGTGAGAGGTGTCTGTGCATGGCTGCTGCAACTTGTCCCCCAGCTGGGGGACAGACAGACACACACACACACAAACAAACAAACAGACAAACTCTCTAAAATATATAGGAGACAGCTGTCCCTTTCTCCACCCCAGACCTTTGTTGGCCCAATGGGATTATAACTGTAACTGTCCCCACTCTTGCTGACCCCCTGTGGTCCTTCTACAGTATAATGGTCCCTCCTACCAGATCCCTCCCTTTCCAATTTATTATAAACAATAAAATTCCAGGCATATCCCATTGTCCTGGCACAACCAAACCCTGACCTTGCTTTAAGTTATGATAAGAGGAAGCTGCATACCAATTAGGGGGAGTTCTTGAACAAACAGACTAACAGATGGATGAACATACAGACAGAGGCACATTTCTAAAATCTATAGTAAGATGTGTTTTACAAATTATTTTACATTTTCCAATTAGATTAAGCAGCAGCATTCTAGACAGATGGGAAATAGTAGAACCTTACCATCAGAATGGCATATAAAAATATCGTTAAGAACAGATTTTTTTAATGAGAATTTTCCAGTCCCAAAATAGCCTTTTTAGATTACCGCTTTGTTTTAGTCTGACAGCCTATCATATTTTACTGCCTTACTGCTGTTTCCTCTTTAAAATGAGGGAGGATAAGATGGCTGTTTGAATGTCATATATGAAATTAGTTTGTTCTACTTTAAAACACTGTACAGGAATAGCTTGGTATAGGACTGGGCCATCATCAATGGAAAGACTCTAATTGACTCTAGTGGGCTTCAGATCAACTCCTTAGTGACCTTAGAACTAAACAAAAAACTGCAGGGCCGATGCTAATAGTTTATCAGTTTTGTCTGGGACAACTGAGTAATAGAATCTCATATTAAGTTGTGGAACTTTTTTTTCTTTTACTCAGTTCCTACATTGTGTATTAACTTATGGTGCTTGGTATTTTATCTCTAAATGTTTGGTTTTTGTCTAGCAGGTATGTGTATATAAATGAACATATTTAATTGAAGACTTAATCTTCCGACAGGTTAATTCAGATCATTTACTAGATTTTCTTGCTGCCATTTTAAATGTCTGTTTACTTTTCACAGCAAAATCAAATATAATGGGGGATAGTTTGCTCGAGGTATTCACATGATCCCCATTAGTATAGCATCTCATAACCTCATAATCTTTAATGTATGTGTCTATTCAGCATTGCTGTGAGGAAGGAAAAGTTAGGTATCATAAACTGCCATTTGTGCCCTTGAAAATCTCCCTCCCCCTTATATCCTTAAAGAACTGCTTAGGCGTTAGTTTTGCACTGTGCCGTGGGCAGGCAGATTGTTTGTGCTTGCTGAAGTCAACAGAACATGCATAAACACCACAAAAAAGCTTAAAAAACAACACATGGTCCTGCAGCTCTTTAGCGATTAACAAAAATGTAGATGGTATCGTGAGCTTTTATGGGCACAGCTCACTTCTTTAGATGAATGGAGTAAGGGGTCCAGAGGAACAAATAAACAGCAGAAAAAATAGGGATGGCGAGGGAGAGAGAAGGGAAAAAAATCTTGTCAATTAGCACGGACACTCTAATTGATAAGATTTTTTTTCCTTCTCTTACTCTCTCCATCCCTATTTTTTTCCGCTATTTATTTGTACCTCTGGACCCCTTACTCCATTCATCTGAAGAAGTGGGCTGTGCCCATGAAAGCTCACGATACCATCTACATTTTTGTTAGTCTCTAAAGAGCTGCAAAACCATTTGTTGCTTTTTAAGTTTTTTCAGTTACAGACACCACAATCTATTTGTGAGCTCTACATAGTAGGAATGGGAACATAAACCTTCTGTGGTAGCATGTTAATTACAGAGTCTTTGTTATGGAATGAGAAAGGCTGGAGTGTAATGTTGATGTCCATTATGCTAAGAACAGACAAGTCTCCTTAGCTCCATGTTGCCATCTATAGCTTTCACTGGCTGAGCAGTATTTCACTGTAGGAACAGAAGGTTCATGTTTCTTACAGTGTAATCAGAAAAAGAAAAGTGCTGTATTGAATAAAGTGTAACATGCTGTTTTCCAGAGTGAAGACTCAGATGAAGAAGATCTCTGTGCCATCAGTAATAAATGGACTTTCCAAAGGTCAAGCAGAAGATGGTCTCGAGTGGATGACATTGACACTTTGCTTCACCGATCAGATAGACATGGATCGTCAGGGGACATTAAAATGAAAAGTACCCTCAGCAGTGAGAGTGTCCTCACCGATCTGAGTGAGCTTGAGGTGTCATCTATTCACAGCGAGAGCAGTGGGGGAAGTGACAGTCGGCGTCAGTCTGGCATCCACAGCACTATAAGGGAGATATGTGACTGCTCAGGACAGCATAGTGTAGAAAATACTCTTACACGCTGCACCACTCCTGTCAGCTGTACCCTCTCCCCGGTTCCAAAGGAGACCACAAATTACTCCTGTAACCTTAAGAATGAAAAACCCCCACGAACGAGAGCCAAAACCTTTCTAAAGCGTATGGAGACGCTAAAGCCTAGAGGTGCACCTGGAAAACTAAAAGGCTTGGGAAGGCCTGGTGTCATAGAGATAAGTGGACCTGTTCTTCATCATGAGCCAAAATCCTTAAAAGACATGCACTGCCTGCAGATAGTGAATGGAGACATCCAAAACTTAACCCAAGATGCAACTAAAAGAGGACTTTCCTTTTCCACCAAGTCCAGCAGTGACAGTAGTCAGTCAGAAAATAGCAGTGGAGTGAGCACATCCTGTTTTCAGGAACGCAAGTGCCATGAAACAAATAAGCGAGGTGGTATGTACCTGGAGGACCTGGATGTTCTTGCTGGAACAGCCCTGCGGCAGCTGGTAGATGAAAACCGTAAAAATGAATTTCACTCGCAAGAGAACTTGGTTGTACATATTCCCAAGGACCATAAACCTGGAACTTTCCCAAAGGCACTTTCCATTGAAAGTCTCTCACCTACTGACAACAGTAATAGTGTAAACTGGAGGACAGGCAGCATCTCTTTGGGCAAACAGAAGTGCTCTACTCCTAAAGAGCCCAGATTCATGGCTTGCTGTCCTAAAGAAAGTAGAGTTAGTATTTATGACAATGTTCCAGGTTCCCACTTGTATGCCAGCACTGGAGACCTTTTGGACTTGGAAAAAGATGACCTTTTCCCTCATTTAGATGACATTTTGCAGCACGTCAATGGACTTCAAGAGGTTGTAGACCACTGGTCAAAGAATGTACTGCCAGAGATGCAAGGCAAAGATTTATTGGTTGGGGAATCTGCATCATTGCCATTCCAGACACCCACCCAAATTATGTTGGACTTTGAAGGGAACTCTGTTTCTGATGGTCGTACTACACCCAGTGATATGGACAGAGATGGAGCATCTCTCAATGAGTCAGAAACAACTGATATTAGGGACAGGAGAGACTCTGGTGTAGGGGCATCTCTCACTAGGCCAAACAGGTTGGTAGCATAATTCCTTAAATAATCCCATCTATTTGTCATTATTAATTGGGTAGATTGTGAAAAAGGCGAAGAGTCATAACAGAGCAAACTACAGTGCACAATTTCTTCCACAAATATTGTAGTTAAAAAACACAGTATCATATATTCACAATGGGACATCTATTCAAACTGGCCTAGAAAATGTGCCCACCAGTTTATGCAAACAGAGGCAGGTGCCACATTTTCATGCATAAGATGAGATTCTGCTTTGAAAACGGGAATCTGTGCTCTTACATAGAATGTACTATTTTTCCGCATAGCCTCCCACAGTTGGTTAAAATGATGGCACCCGATGTATGAATGGAATGTAAGGTTGGACCTCCCAGAGTGACACCAAGTGTTTGGAAATTCATTCTGTATTATTAATACATTTTGTGACTTTGAAAGAAGAGGCTCAGTTGTGACCTGAAGACACAGCTCTGAGCTAGGGACTCTCGGGCATGGTGCTGTGCACTCTCCATTGCCTGGCCAACTGCCTCCATGTGCTCACCCACAATGGGCCATTGCTTTTATTTTATTTTCTACATTAACATGAGCATTTTTTTAAATCTTCTATTTGTTCTTTACAGAACGGGACTTCACACACACAGTCAAGCTTTGAGATATTCAAGTTGTATTTTATGCCCAAACAGCCCCCTCCCACACCTACCTTTGCTTTCATTTCTGTGTAGTTCTCTTAGCACTGAACACTCACTCAAGTGATGCTGTATAAGGCCCATGAAAGCATCATTGGTTACCCCGTGAGCACATGAAGTTATGTTAAAGATGGCCGCAGTTAGGTAGTCTTTGTCTAACCCACAAAAGAGGGGATACAATTACTAACTACAACATAGCATGTAGGAGAGGCTCCTGGAGGCAGGAAAGTGAATTTAAAAGAAAAGATACCCACCCACTCCCTACAGGCTATAGAATGAATACCTAGGAACTGCTTATTAAACAGAGTGCATTGAAACAACTGGTCAGAAAAGGAAAGAAACTTGGTGTTTTAACTATTTTGAGGGACTCTTATGCTATCACTTACATTCTGGAATCAAAAGGAAAAACTATCTTTTAGTCTTTAAAGTGCTACATAGTTTTTCCTTTTGTTTTAGCAAGATCAGACTAACACAGCTACCTCTCTACTTCTATTCTGGAATCAGTCATCTTAATTACTTTGGATTTATAAATAGTCTGGTAGCACTTTAAAGACTAACAAAACATATAGATGGTATCATGAGCTTTCATGGGCACAGCCCGCTTCTTCAGATGACCGGAGTGTTGTATGTCCAGAACCAAAATAAATAGGGGAGAATGAAGGAGGGAGGGAGGGAAAAAATGGGAGGGAGGGAAACAAAAGGAGGTAGTTCCAACCCTTCCCACAAGGCAACTACACAGAGAAGGGTTGGAACTGCAGTTCATTCACAAGGTTAATTCTCATGCCAGTGGTTTGAATCGAGATAGCAGATGGCTGGGACATTATCAACTGAACAAACAATGAAGGTACCAATGGTTCTTTGTCTGTGTAGATTCTGGTGTTAGTACTCTTCCTCTCTAATTGCTAACTAATGGTCCTTATCTGCTTCTTTTAACTATCCAGTTTTTAAGTGCTTATAGACTATCAGTTTTGCCTGTTACATACCAGCTTGGTTTTCCCTTTGATATTTATATACTCACTGCCTCCTTTTGTCGTCCCCCCCGCCTTTATTTTGGTTCTGGACATACAACACTCAGGCCATCTGACGAAGTGGTCTGTGCCCACGAAAGCTCATGATACCATCTACATGTTTTGTTAGTCTTTAAAGTGCTACCAGACTATTTGTTGTTTTTTAAATGTATCCTGTACAGACTAACTCAGCTACACCTCTGAAACTATGGATTTATACTACTGTAACCAAGAGCAGAATTTGGCACTGTGTGTTTTGGTCTATAGGTTAAAAATGCACACAGATACAGAGGTGCATTTAAAGGGCCTAACACTGCAATTATTTACAACCACCCATATTTCTTACTACTGTGTTGAATTCCTTTGAAGTAAGGGGGAGACTACGCACATATTACGTGCTTGCCTAAGTGTTTTCAGAATTTGGGCCAAAGTTCATACCTTGAGGAAAAAAGGCAAAGGAAATGCAAATAAGGTATTATCAATACAAGAGTCAGTATATAAAGAAAGTGTCTTGAGTCAGACTCAGAGGGTGCGTCTAGACTGGCAAGATTTTGCGCAAAAGCGGCCACTTTTGCGCAAAAACTTGCCAGCTGTCTACACTGGCCGCTTGAATTTGCGCAAGAGCACTGACTTTGTAATGTACAAACTCAGTGCTTCTTGTGCAAATACTTTCATGCTCCCGCTTGGGAAAAAGCCCTCTTGCGCAAGAATACTTGCTCAAGAGGGCCAGTGTAGACAGGGAAGAACAGTTTTGTGCAAAAAAGCCCCGATGGCTAAAATGGCGATCGGGGCTTTCTTGCGCAAAATCGTGTCTAGACTGGCTACGGATGCTTTTGAGCAAAAGCACTTTTTGTGCAAAAGCATCCATGCCAATCTAGACGCACTTTTGCGGAAATACTTTTCCCAAGGGATCACGACATTTACATTGACAAATATTGTCAATCATCACATTTTTCCTAGCTGTGGCACTATCTAAAATCATTTTCCTTTCCTTTCTTTTGCTGAAGGCGATTACGCTGGCATAGTTTCCAGATCTCACATGGCCCGAGCTATTCTGCAGCATCACTACAGCTCAGTAATCAATCTGCAGCCCAACTCAATCTACTGCAAAAATTTTCCTTACTTCGTTTTACTGCCATCATGGAAAAATATTGCATGTCAAACAAACATGGCTGGACATGGTAAGTGCATTATGTGTCTCAAAAAGCAGATATATAGAGACGAAAATTGTTTCTCTGAATATTATCATTCCACTAACCTAGCCCCTTTCATCTGAGAATCAGCAAATGCCTTTTACTTTGTATTTATATAGTGAGTCAGTGGCAAAGCCAGAAATAGAATTTAGGAGGTCTTTTCAATCTCCTGTTCTGACCGCGAGATAGATGCCCTCCCATCCTCCACCTCTTTCTAATGGCAGCCAAGTCCCAGGAAAATAAAGAATAGGAGTGAATAATTACAAAGAGGACATTTTAAAATAAGGTTCTCTAAAACTAAAGTTGTGGTTTGAAAGAAGCTGCTATTGGTTATACATCAAGTATAAAAGTTTGTTTTATTGTTTTTATATATAAAAGAGTGATTAGCAGTGCGTAACTGGAAGAGCTCTAAAAAATATTGTTCTCCTGTATAGGCAGAAGCATTAGTCTAATAATGATGATGAGAATGATAATATTTATCAGTCAGACAGTGCTTTGCACCTTCAAAGCACTTTACAAATCTAACTAATGTTCACAAACCCCTCTCTGTGGTTGGCAAAAACATTAAGGTATCTACAGCGGTACAGATGGAGAGAGATCAGAGGTCAGGACTAAGGCGCTAGATTCACAAAAGTACTTAAATATCCCTTTAACTTCAAAATGGCTGCACCATTGGCATTCACAAAGCCCCTGCTCAACTTCTGACTAACCCTGAAGGAACCTAAAGTTCATTGGCACCTCAATTTTCACCACTAAAAGTCCCCAGTGTGTCTACATTTCCACTTCTGGGTATGCACAGAACTGCCTCAGTCAAGGTGCCCAGGTGCCTAAATCCTAGTGAAACACTGCAGCTAGACATTCCCTTAGGGCCCGATCTAGTAGTTGTTCTCAAGGCCTATCTAATGCCACACTATTTAGATAGCACGAGGCAGGGAGGTGGCAGCATCTGTTATAAAATATATCTCACGTGTCAGGCAACTGAGTTGAAATGTGGGAGACCCTTGTTCTATTCCCTCTCTGCATATTTAAATCCCGGGCTTCATTTGCAACTTCGAATGCCTACATTAGCCACCCTAGTTCGAACTAGGGGGCTAGTGTAGACATACCCAGAAAGATTACATAGCATCTCCACCAATTGTCAGACAAACACCTTATCTCTAATACAAGTAGTTTTCCTTAACAAGCTAAATAAGACAACATCAACAAAAAGACAATTAAATGGCAGCTTTTGTCTAGTTAAATTATAATGCATCTGTGATGGCACCTCGCACTGATGTGATCCATGAGTTTATGGGCCCATTATCTAAGATTAAAGCAAAACATGTTAGCAAGGTTGTTTTGGTATCAGCTGGCGCAGCCCCTTGGAATATGGTTGCCAGGGCGACTGTGCCTTCCTAAGGTCCCTCTACTCAGGCAAACTGTCCGTTCATGAGGTTACAGGTTTCGAGGTTAGAGGCCTATACATGACTTCAGAATAAGAATAGGGGTTCTTAGTGAAATACCATGGACTGCCTCAGTTTACCCTACAAAAGTTCACAAAGTTCAATTAATTTGCTTAGTTAGAAATCAAATGAGTTACAATAGGGATGTATTTGGCACATAATGGTTTCTCGCTGCCATTTATTACTGTAAATGATGGACAAAGGAAATGCGTAATCATATAGCTGATGTCATAGAACTCATTGAGCCAATTAAAGAAATTAACTTGTACTCTTTCAGATTCATCTTCCACTTTGTTTTGTTGTGCTGTTTGTGCCAGACATTTTGAATGCAAGCATGTAGCTCCAGGCAATCTGCTGGTAAAGACTCTCAAGAAGCTCATAAAATGTGCACACTTCATTTATCATGTATTAGGAAGGAAACTTTTATTTGTCTGTCTTTATCAAAGAGGATGCCTTCAGATTCACTAGCTTCCCTCCTCAGTGTTAGCTAGTAACACTGTTTAGTGCTAACTCTGTGAATTCCAGGTCTGTGCCAAAGTTCATGAAGAGGATGAAAGTCCCTGACTACAAGGACAAGAGTGTCTTTGGTGTTCCGTTGATAGTTCATGTCCAGCGGACAGGGCAGCCGCTTCCACAGAGCATGCAGCAAGCGCTGCGCTACTTACGCAGCAATTGTCTAGATCAGGTATGGATTTGACATTCGTGGCTGAATTTCAAAGGGATTTTAAACCACTGTCTAGCAACTTGCAAAGCTCAATTATGGAAAATGTATTAAGCAAGTTGAATATTTTACTTTGCCACCCCACATCAGTGCCAGCGCCATTCTAAAGCTCTGTACAGGTTACAATAGCACTGGGCAATGACTGACATATTACAAACACTGCTTTTGCTGATGTATTAATTCACTACACAAGGGACATGGCTATTCTCTCTTTATTGTTCCTCCCCTAAAGATAGGACTCTGTGTGTACATGCTCACAGTATACATTGTGGCCAGTTTGGTTCTGCATTGCAGTGCTTGTCCAGTTTTAATATTGGAGCAGCATGTTTCCTATGCAAGTGTAAGCGGGGGAATGGTCCCGCTCTTGTGGGGAACTTTCCTGGCTTCTATACACCCCGGTGAAATGAACCAGCGAAAGGATCTGAGTCCCCGCTCCCACTTCCTTTACCCCACGGCTCCCTGATCCTGAGGGCTCCCCCTCCACTCTCCTGAGTAGCAGAGCCCTTGAAACCCCAACAAGGCTGGGCCCAGGTTTCCTGGGGCTTAATCCCTGACCTTGTAGTCACTAGGGGCAGGAGTTAGGGTGTCCCCACTCCGAGGTGCTCTCTTTACACTGCAGGCCTTCTTGGCCCAGTGATCACTTCATAAGGTTCAAAGCAAATACAATTTATTAAACATCAACTGATTAAAGAGAATAGAATAAGAAACAATGAGAATGGTTAAATGAGAACACACAGCCCTGCTCTGTAGCACAGGGACATCAAAACAGCAGTCTGCAGAGTGTAAGGACAGTTCACAGTCTCTTCCTTAGAAGCCCTGGATGTGCTGCAAGGGGCTGCAGGCTGGACACGCTTGCACTGGCAGTGACCACACAGCCTCAGTCTCTAAGTGGCCAGACCCCTCTCCCAGTCCAGAGCCTTTCCCCACACTTTGCAGGTCCCAGTAGCTCACCACATCCAGCTGCAGGCTGTGCTGCTTGGCCAGTTCCAGCTCCTTGTGTTGCCTCTCTGTTCCTTTTGGCTTTCTGAGCACTGCCAGTCTGCTGCTCAACACAGGGTCTGCACTGCTTGGCCTGTCTGTGTCTGGTTCTGTCGCTGCAGGACTTCTTCTTGTACTCCTCTTTCAGCTCTCTGTCTTTGCAGGACCTCTTCTGCACACAGCTTGTTTGTTCAGAGACAGAGCCAGAACAATCCCCACTTACAACCTGTCAGTCAGGCTGAGCTGGAGTGTTGACTGCTTTCCATTGTCTCTGGGGTCTGTCAGTCTCATGAACCCTTCCCCTTCTGAAGCTGGTAAACCAAAAAACTCCCACAGAGTTTTAGTAAGGGGTAACAGTCCCCTTACACAAGGTCCACTTCTGAATTTTCCAGAGTTTCTGCTCCTTACCCTGCTTGTGACATTGTGCTCCCTGAAACTGATATTGTGGGCAGTTTCAGCACTGTGGGAAGAAATGGGAAGATAAATAGCAGCAGGGAGGAATCATGCCACAACTCTGTGCAGCTAAATTCTCATTCAGTGCCCATCACTGTGGCCTGGGGGTGTGGGAGCGCACAAAGCCTCCTCCGCTCTGCGAGTAGCGCGTGACACTTCAAAGTGCCACGTGCTGCTCTCCGGACAGTGGGGAAGCTTCCCATGCTCCCCCTTCGCTGGGCCAATTAAGACCTGAGGGCGGGGACAGGGCAGAGAAGGCTTTGGGTGCTTTTCCCCTTCCCCCACTGCCCCATGCCCTAACTGGCCTGGGGGCGGGGGAGCAGCAGGGCCTCCGTTGTCTGGATCCACCTGCTTGGCGGGCTGGATCCGGCCCGCGGAGGCCCTTTTGCCTATCCCTGGTTTAACGTCAAAGGGCTTCCAAGCTGTGAACATTTAAAAAACATCTTTGTGCAGAGACTTTCACCCAAACCCAGAGTTAGGATTTTAAATGTTCAGTTAATTCAGCTTCTGCACTTGACACCTCTTCTCCTTATCTACTTCAGAATCAGTGAATGCTTGTCCATTGGATTCATTCCAGCCCTAAATAGCTTCCAGCACTTCCCTGCACAATGGCTGGTGCATGAAGGGAGCTAGCCTAGAGCTCTGGACTTCTAGATCTGCCATTGCACTTACTTAACAGAGTAGCAGTTGTTTATGTAATTGTAAGCTATGGTCCTGGGCACTTGAGGTATTTGTGACTATTCTGAGATGAAGTAAGGAATCTTGAGCATTAAGATTTGAAGACAATTATTCAAATACAACCGTGAGAAAGAGAAGTCTCTGTACCTTTCTTTGTTGATTGAACTTTTATTTCTACCCTACATACATCAAGCGTGCACTTGCAGAACCAATTATCAACAGCACCTGAAGAAAATAAAGAGAGTAGGAAAATTAATCTCTGGTGTAAATCCTTTAGTGTTAGTGTGTTTATGGAGCCCTTGTAGTTACGGGATACCTCTCTCAGACTATGGAAGCCTGAAACACCTGCTTTTATGAAACCAAGAACTATCCCCTCTTGATTAACTGAGCATTTTTCCAAAGGAAGGGAAATAGGAGTAACATCATTACACAATAGTAGAGTTTAGCAGTAACAGGATGTCAGGCACCAGAAGACTGTTTTGATGAAATTTGATGTCTGACCTCTGATTCTGGCATAGCTGTAAATTTTTAAAGATTGTTTATGCCAGCAAGGAGCCTTTGCCCTGGAGGTTTTGTTTCACATTTGTCCAGCACTCTTGAGTTTTATTCTTTGAACAGATACAATTGTGGCTAGAAGTCTCATATATTCAATACACTAGGGCTACGTCTACACTGGCCCCTTTTCCGGAAGGGGCATGTAAATTTCACCAGTCGTCGTAGGGAAATCCGCGGGGGATTTAAATATCCCCCGCGGCATTTAAATAAAAATGTCCGCCGCTTTTTTCCGGCTTTTAAAAAAGCCGGAAAAGAGCGTCTACACTGGCCCCGATCCTCCGGAAAAAGCGCCCTTTTCCGGAGGCTCTTATTCCTACTTTGAAGTAGGAATTGCACTCCCAGACTTTGAAGTAGGAATAAGACCCTCCGGAAAAGCCGCGGGGGATATTTAAATATCCCCCGCGGATTTCCCTACGACGACGGGTGAAATTTACATGCCCCTTCCGGAAAAGGGGCCAGTGTAGACGTAGCCTAGGTGAGAGGAAGCATTGAAAAGGGAGAGAAGAGATGATGGGCAATCCAGATGAAAAGAGCCAGATACTTCTTCGTATTTCATTGTCTCCACTCTGGGCAGCTTTACCTCTGAATATAAATATGATCCAACAATGTGCACTCAATGCAGATTTCAGTTCTGTAATTTCTACATAGAAAATTAGATTGCAAACATTACAAAGCTCACTGATACAGCTTTTTCTAGAGTCACATAACAGAAAACATCTCAAAGCTACAATTTGCGATCAGAGGCTGTTTTCCACTTACAAACTAATACACAGCATGCACCGAACTATGTACAGTTTAATTTATGAAAGCCACATCAGCTCTATATTACTCATCAAAACATTTCACTATATGACCATTGAACATGGAAGGACTTCAAGAGCATCCATTAGTTTTTCAGGATGAGGATTGAGCTACATGAGCCCTGGAATGGAAGCTGGAAAGTTGAGCATAGGATGTTGTGTGACTGAACTGCATATTTAGTTGCTTCCATGGCTGGAGTTGTTGGGATATGCAGTCCAGTAACCTTGATTCCAAGTTAACAAGACAAACAGCTAGCTACATACAACAAGCAAGAGGAAGCAACCTTTATAATTTGAAGCCTAAAATATGCCCACTTTATTCTTTTTATAGATTTTCTCAGTATTTCACCTCTTTTCCTGTAAACTGAAGAAAAACACCACAGCTAGTTCCCAAATGGAACAACATAAGCTCCCTTGGGAATAAATATATGGTTCATGCTCAGGAATTCACTTCAGGGGAATTCTACTTCCGAGAACTACTGTAAAAGGATAGCACTGCTCTGAAGACACTCACTGGGCTCATTTTAAGAAATACCACTTCCTTCAGATTAGAAAGCAAACAAGATAAAAATGTACCACAGTGGCACAAATAATCCCTCTGCGGTCTCTGCTTTTTAGCTGCTGGGTTTTTCAGTGGAATTTGAGGAAACTTTGGGGAGCAGAGAACAGGAAGGGGGAATACAGATTTAGCATCTTGGTGTTAATCCTAGCAGGATGTCCCAGTCTCTTGTCACATAGTATATTACTCTACTGAAGATCGCTGATGTGGCTGAAGAGATGATGTGGCTTTTGTAAATTAAACTGTACATAATTCTGTGCAAGCTGTATATTAGTTTGTAAGTGGAAAACAGTGTCAGATTGCAAATAGTAGCTTTGTCTTGTTAATCTTCAAAATAGACAGACACGATAAGACAGATTTTCAGCAGCGGTGAATCAGTGTAGTAGCTGCATTAAAGTCAACTAGCTATGTCATTTTATACCTGTTAGGAGACTAGCTCATAATTTTTAAACACTGCCTTACCCACATACATTCTGATCTTTTGGTGTGTGATTTGGTACAATAAGGAAGAATTATTACGTGTTACAGTCCCACAACAAGAGTATGACGCTGTTTATGGTTTATCTTGTAAACAAATCCACTGGCATTTCTATGTATGTAAGAATCTACAAGTTGCATGAAATCTTGTTATCTAAAACAGTAAAACAAGTAACACAACTTCCCCAGTAAGCAAAGCCTCTTGTAAGTTATACTTGAAAGAAATGGCTGTTTAACCTATCCAACATGGCTCCTGGTTTAGGTGGGTCTGTTTCGAAAATCAGGCGTGAAGTCCCGAATCCAGGCCCTGCGTCAGATGAATGAGAGCTCCCCTGAGAATGTCAGCTATGAAGACCAATCAGCCTATGATGTGGCAGATATGGTAAAGCAGTTTTTCAGGGACTTACCAGAACCTCTTCTCACCAGTAAGCTAGGAGAAACCTTCCTCCATATCTATCAATGTAAGTAAAATGGGAGTTATTATGAATGTTACTGAAGTGTCAACATGCATCTGACGAAGTGGGTCTTTGCCCACGAAAGCTTATGCTCCTACACTTCAGTTAGTCTATAAGGTGCCACAGGACTCCTCGTCGCTTTTGCAGATTCAGACTAACCCGGCTACCCCTCTGATACTTAACAGTAGGCTTGATTCATTCAATTCACTCCAAAGGGCTTTGGATCAGGCAAATTGTGACTAAGAGAGCTGCCTGGCCAAATCCCATTAACTTGTAACAAAAATCCAGTGTCCAAATCCTACATGAAGCTTTGGAAATCTCAGCCTTCCAATCAAAAAGAGGCACACAAAGAAGATGAGATGCAGAGGGAGAGCCAGAGCAGGAAATAACCTGAAACAGTTTCTATTATAATATCACATTTTTAATTATGTACAGTAATTCCTCATTTAACACGTGCCCGCTTAACATGTTTTTGCGATAGCACGATTTTTTTTTTAGGGAGTGTTTTTTGAATTACACGACCGTACCCAGAATAACACGATTTCCCCAGCCGGCCCATTGCCAGCGGCTGTATGGGGCTTCCCCCACCTTCCTGCAAAGCGGCGGAGGGTTCGCCACTCGCCACGCCATAGCCCTGTCACAAAATGTGGAGTTAGAGAGAAACACTTAGCCTTGGGAATTTTTGTTCATATGCATGTAGCTTATTTAATCACCAACACTGGGATTGGGAAGGATTCTCTTCCCCATGATATACTGTCATGAACTTGAGCTGGGACACTATTGATATATCCAGAATGGTTGATGATTGCAGGGGGGTAGACATTTCACAGATTTTGCTCAGTTACCCTATACTTTGCATAGCAGTAATTTATGTTACTCCAGTTAACCAAAATTCCCAGTTAAGTGAAGTTATGTCCCTCAAGATTGTCTTCATTACATTCCAGAATACAATGGATGGAGGGATGAGGGACACATTGCAGACTTACCAAAAATTCCTCTGAGTTTTCTGAAGGCTGCCCATGTCCCTTACCACTTCTAGAAAGTCAAGGTTATACTCTATTTGTTTGCCATTTTTTTGTCAAAACCTTTACTATAAAGTGCTTGTTGGAGCTTTCTAAGAGACAGAACTTAATAGCTTGCTGTTGCATCAATTGTAAATCCGGTTTTACTCTTCTTTCATGTGATTATATATAATGTATAAAACACCCAGAGGAGTTCTCTTACTCCAACCTGAGGAAACTTATGGTAGCTTCAGAAATGATTCTGTCCAAAATGCTGTTTAAGCATATCCATTACTACTTTCATTAAGCTCTTCCTAGGATAAGTGCAAGCATTTCCCCAAGCATCCCTAATGCTTTTTGAACTGCTCTTCCATGGGCAGAAAAATCATAGAAAATAGCATTTAATGCTACAGCACTGAGTTCTCTTTGCGCATCATAAGTTCTAAATGAAGTATTGTACTCTTCTGAGTGAAGAGTAGTAATGCACTATGGAAAGATAAAACATACATAGCACTTAAAAATTTGTACGCAGTCTTGTTTAGGATCGGTAGGTTTTCACTTTGTGAAATATAGAAGAGTAAGATCAAGCAATCCCAGGATATGTAAGAAAGAAAAGCTCAGGTTTTCCAGACAGTCCAGTATTTGAGCTTTCTGTTCAGGAAACAAATTGAGAAAATAGAAATGAGAAAATATAAATGTCCGGTATTTTCTAAATAAGATGTAATGTAGATTGTGATGTAATGTCAAATGTGTCCGATATTTTTGTTGAAGCCATCTGGCAACTGAGTCTGATATTTAAATGGTGTTTTTCTCTGGAGAAAAGAAGTAGTCAATATAGTGTGAGTTTCTTGCTTTACTTTACTGAATCCTAGTGTCTTTACGTGATGTTATGATTAACTCCATTAAATGACACTTGATTTTCCTTAGATGTTCCCAAAGAGCAGAGACTTCAAGCCGTGCAGGCAGCCATCATGTTGATGTCAGATGAAAACAGGGAGGTTTTGCAGACTCTGCTGTGTTTCCTGAGTGACGTCTCCTCTGTAGAAGAGAATCAAATGACTCCAATGAATGTAGCTGTTTGTCTGGCCCCTTCTCTTTTCCACCTTAATATATTAAAGAAGGAAAGCTCACCAAGGTAAGTACCTGGCTTGGCTGTACTGTTATCTTTTACAGAAAGGGCTGGAGTTTTAAACTTAGACAATTTTGTAGACTCATGATACAAAATGATGCTTTTGATGTTCAGACAGACATTTGGGGTCCAATTTTCAAAAGCAACTGTTAACTATTGCACCCCTAGATTTGGGTATGCACTCTTTGAGAAGGCATTACAGGCCAAAAGGGCATTTACAACCATAGAGAAAGTCATTTAATTCTTGCACAAGTAAATGCCCTTTTTCATCTGCAAATTCATTGGGCATGTGAGTATGTTTTGTGGGGTCAATTTTGTCTTTTGAAGGCACCAAGCCTGATTCTGTTGCTGTTGGAGTAAGTGGGACTTTGCCATTGACTTCAGTGGGGAGAAGACAAATTCATAGTTTTGTAGGGATAGCTTTTAACAAGTACACTTTCGGTGCCTGGTACAAGCTTGTAGGCATACAATTCCTGTTGTGGCTTAAATCCTGTGCAACCCCAAACTTCACCCAAATTGTTATTAAAAAGACATCTTGTGTTCTAATTCCAGCTCTGCCAGTGACTCACTTTGAATATACTCAAGAAGCATTCTGCTAATTGGAAAATAGAGCTTATTTCAGGTCACAGTCTTCTGGTTCATAATATGATGAATATAAGTTAAATAGGGCTTAGATCCAGCCATACATTGGTGACCCATCTAAAATATCCCCTCTGCATTCCCTTCTTATCCCTGTTGGAGATATTGCTTTGATGATCCTGGTAGCCACTACCTTGCCAAGTATTTTAAATTATGACAGGACAGAATACGGGGGCTATTTGTTGAAGTTCTGTTGCAAAATGTAGGATACACATGGTGCAATGTCTTTCACCTTTCCTGATTTCAACTTTGACTTAAGAATATTTTAGGTAAACACTTTTTCTTTGGCAACAAAAATTTTTTTGTGTGTGTAGTCTCAATGCTCTCTTCTAAATGCAAATTTAAAAGGATTTTCTCTGTGGCCATGAGAACGTTGTGCCATTATGTTTACTTTCATATTCAAAAGATTCAGCTCCTCTTATCCGAGACACTGAATTCAATTACAGAGTAATACAGAAAAAATATGCGACAGGGAAGCCAGATCAGAAGGACCTCAGTGAAAACCTGGCAGCCACTCAGGGACTTGCACACATGATAATAGAATGCAACAAACTTTTTGAGGTGAGTGGAAGACTCAGCATTACTCATAGCTACAGTACGTAACAGAGCAGCCTTTGAAATATTTACAGTTTAGATTTACATTTCCTCCTTTTAACTTAGACGGTGATGGGTCCTAACTTATATAAGATTGTTCTCACTGAAATTTATTTCTCATTTCTTTTTGACTATCTCTAGTTTTTCAGATATGTGGGGATTCTTCTTCAAGTGCTTGTTCATGTCCATTCAACATAGGTGTGTGTGCTCACTACATACACCAGTGACAGAAGATTTTTCTTCAGCAATATTCGTAGGGGACCCGGTCCAGTGCTCCCTGCCGTGTGGTTGCATGCTGTGCCATATAGGGTGCCCCCATCTGGGCCTTTCTGTCTTCAGTTCTCTCCTGCAGCTGGTGACTGTGCTTGGAACAGTGCACTCTAGCCTTAGCTGTAGCTTTAATTAACTTTCCCTGTGCATTTGTCAATAGTTTCCCTCTAGATAAACACATGTAAATAGCTGTAGATTGCCAGTCTCAGAGAGGAAGCCATGTTAGTCTGTAACTTAAAATAAGCGGTACAGTAGCACTTTATAGTGTGGCTATGTCTAGACTGGCATGATTTTCTGCAAATGCTTTTAACAGAAAAGTTTTCTGTTAAAAGCATTTGCGGAAAAGAACGTCTAGATTGGCACAGACGCTTTTCCACAAAAGCACTTTTTGCGGAAAAGCGTCCATGCCAATCTAGACGCGCTTTTGCGCAAAAAAGCCCCGATCGCCATTTTCACAATTGGGGCTTTTTTGCGCAAAACAAATCTGAGCTGTCTGCACTGGCCCTTTTGTGTAAAAGCTTTTGTGCAAAAGGACTTTTGCCCGAATGGGAGCAGCATACTATTTCCACAAGAAGCACTGATTTCTTACATGAGATCATCAGTGTTCTTGAGGAAATTCAAGCAGCCAGTGTAGACAGCTGGCAAGTTTTTCTGCAAAAACATTTGCTTTTGTGGAAAAACTTGCCAGTCTAGACACAGCGGCTACGTCTACACTGGCCCCTTTTCCGGAAGGGGCATGTTAATTTCATGAGTCGTAGTAGGGAAATGCGCGGGGGATTTAAATATTCCCCGCGGCATTTAAATAAAAATGTCCGCCGCTTTTTTCCGGCTTTTAGAAAAGCCGGAAAAGAGCGTCTACACTGGCCCCGATCCTCCGGAAAAAGCGCCCTTTTCCGGAGGATCGGGGCCAGTGTAGACACTCTTTTCCGGCTTTTCTAAAAGCCGGAAAAAAGCGGCGGACATTTTTATTTAAATGCCGCGGGGGATATTTAAATCCCCCGCGCATTTCCCTACTACGACTCATGAAATTTACATGCCCCTTCCGGAAAAGGGGCCAGTGTAGACGAGCCCAGCCTGTGTGTGTATGTGTATGTGTATGTGTATGTGTATGTGTATGTGTATATATATATATATAAAATAGTATCATGAGCTTTCATGGGCACAGCCCAGCGGAAGAAATGGGTTTCGCCCATGATACTATACTATATATATATATATAACATAGGTATATCTCCATATCTCATAGAACCAGAAGGGACTGTGAGAGGTCATTGAGACCAGTTGCCTGCCCTCATGGCAGAAGCAAATACCATCCCTGATAAATTTGTCCCAGATTCCTAACTAGCCCCCTCCGGGATTGAATTTACAATCCTGGGTTTAGCAGGCCAATGCTCAACCACTGAGCTGTCCCTCCCCCTAGAGTTTTGTTTGTCTCTCAGGAGCTAGTGGGCCACTCTGTTTTTGTAGATTATCAGTTTGTTAGTCCCCTCTAGGGACATAGCCTGGGGACGGGACATGCCCTGCTCCTCTGGCTTTAAAGCCTATACTACATGCCGCAGGCCTATGCCAGTCTGTGTCCCGCCTGTTGGCTATCTCCACTGTCTAGAAGAAGCACACATCTCTGACAAGGGTCAGGGCTACAGATCTTTCTATCCGAGGACAGTAAAAGGTAAGGTGCTATGTTTAAAAGCCCTACTCATGGACTTTGCCTTCGCTCCCAAGCGCCAGCGCTTGGACTTGGTGCCAAGCACCGTGTGTCAGTGTATAGCACTTCCCCAGTGCTCTGAGCTCAGCACCAGTGATCATCCTTGGCCCTAAGAGAACGAAGAAGTCAGGCAAGGACAAATCCCCCAGCCCACAGAAGGCCAAGGCCAAGAAAGGGGATTATGCTTCTGCTGGATAAACTCCTGGTGCAGGCTAGCCTGGGTGGTCCTGCCCACTCCCCATTGCCCGTCCCAGATGTTCAAGTCCCTTCCATGCCAGAGGCTTTCTAAGCAACGCAGGACTATGGGCATCCGGTATAATAGGCGGGAGAAGGCACAGCCTTCCCAAACTGCCCCTCTTGCCCTGCCTATACTGTAGGCATACTGGAGGTGGAGTGTTGCTGCCTCCAGTGCCGTCCTTCCCAGACTACTGGGCCGGAGAGGCTGGGACTGCATGCCACCCACCCTCCCCATGCTCCAGGGCTGGGGCATGCACACCCACCTGCCCTCCTCCCTTCCCCCTTCCCCATGGTGGTGGGTCTGCTCCTGGGGCAGGGAGGTGGCTTGGTTCTCACACGGGGGAGGGGCAGGGCCTCAACGGAAGGGGTGGTGCTGGAGTGAGGCTGCAATCTTGCCTCCCCCAGTCCTACCTTCACCAACTGCCTATGTGCAGGACTTTATAACCATGCCGATGCTGCCTCCTCCAGCACTGGTCAGGCCCCCTCATAGAAGGAAGCCGCCATTTGTTTCTCGGTTGCCAAGCCCCCAGCAATCGCACTGTCCCACGCAGACAGACAGGAGAGCTCCTTGTACCCTCATTCAGTCGTGAGAGAGGGACTGGGGCCAGATGCTGCACCTCAACTATTGCTGGAGTTGGGCCACAGGCCTGTGGGAGCATGCACCCCCAAGCAACAGCAGCACTGTAGGGAGAGTTGTTCCCCATATGTGCCTTGCCACTCTAGGAATAATTTCCCTTAATCACGGCACCACTTTTGACACTGCTGATATTCACCAACACTAAAGTATACTAGGTGTGGCAGCACAGCCTGTCGGTTCCACTTGATGTCCTGGCACTGACAGTCATCCTCTCACTACTGGTCACCACCAGTCAAGAGCAGGTCCTGAGATCAATGTAGAGCTGTGGGCTGCCGGTCCAGGCATTTCCCTTAGTCACCAAGATTGCCATTGCCACTGGGTTCTCAGTACTATGGAGAGCACAGTGTATGCACCCCTTCCAGGCCTTCAGCCAGCGTTCACTCAGCAAGTGCCACATCACACTCTGTCTCCTCGCCCCTTGCACTCAGCTCCATCTCAGCCGGTGCCGCAGATGGCTTTGCAGGACACGCCATGGCCCCAAGAGCAGTGGCTGGCACATTGGTGCCCATGGACCCCGTGGGGTTTCCCGGTTCAGCCCCAGGTTACCCACTCAGTAATTGGAGTGTCAGAGGCCCCTTTGCCATCCTCCGCTGGCCATGTACAGACGGTGGTGGTTTGGCCAGTTACTCCTCAAATAGAGGAGGGGATGGGCAATCAGCTGGCATTGGGAGAAGAGGGCCAGTTGGGCCAAGCTTCTTCTTCCAGACGAAGCCATAATGGCACCCCCTCCTGGGGTCCGGCATGAAGGCCTGTCAGGACTTTTTAAAGAGGGTGGTGACCAAGTTGGCTCTGCGGGTGGAGGAAGTACAGGAGACCTTGGACTCTCTCTTTGGGGTCCTTGGCCAGGAGGCACCAGCACAAGTGGCCTTGTCGGTATATGGGGAATGGCCAAGTTTGCCAAGTCTCTATGGCAGACTCCCTCATCCATTCCACCTGTTTCCAAGAGGACTGAAAAGAAATCTCTATTAGCACTAAAGGACCTATGACACACAGTTGAACAGTCTGTTTTCATCCAATAGAGAGGTGCGGTACACAGACACATTAGCTATTACATTACAATAGCTTCATGTCTTGTGAATAACAGTAGGTAAAGATAGCAGTGGGTATCTGCTTTTATTGGTTCACTGTGCGGAAGAATACAGTGTACTAGATAATTCTTTTCTTAAAGGGTCTTTCTCAAAATAAACCTCAAACTTTAAGTTTTACCTGCTTTTTTTGGAGCAGGTCCCACATGAGATGGCAACCCAATCTCGGAACTCCTACGTGGAGGCTGAAGTGCATTGTCCAACGCTGGAGGAACTAGGAAAGCAAATGGATGAAGAAGGAGGGAATTACCAAATGTACCTTGAAAGTCTGATGCAGAACCTTCAGAAAGAAGCAAAAGAGAAATTCAAAGGATGGGTCACCTGTTCTAGCATAGAGAACACAGACCTTGCTTACAAAAAGGTAATTTCAAGAAATGTAGAAAAAGTAAAAACAAAACAATTGTTTTTTTAAATCTATGCATTTCTACCTAAAGTACTATTGAATAAATCACTAAGACTGAATAAATTGAATAAAGTACTAAGACTGAATAAATCCCTTTACTATTTTAAGTCTTCTAGAGGCAAAAATAAAATATTCTTTAGGGGATAAAAGCCTATTAAAACTACCTATATCAATAAGTAGTTAGTAGAAATGTAATATGGCAGTGATCTGTGCAGAGAAGTGGGTACGTAGAAACCATTATAAGGTCTCAAACCAACAGGCAGAGAAAGTGATGAAGGAAACCATGAAAAGAAAGAGAGAAGAAAAGAGAAAAAAATACATAGTATTACTTTGAGTGAGTCATTTGAGAGGGGGATAGGTAACTTTCCTGGCCTTCTGCAAACAGGTCACTGGAACACAATAGAGAAAGTGCTTAAGCTTAAGGAGATTTGGAATGGGGAAGGGGTGGACAAGCCTATTAATGTAAGTACAATACAGCTTGCTGCCTATTCTACCAGGCTAAACCTGCACAGTTGGTATGATTTTTAGCTATGATTTTAGGATAATTTTGTTATCACTTTATTCAGATAAAGGCTTTGAGGGAAAATTGGTATTAACAAGGAAGGAAAAGGAAAGCAAACCAAAGAAAACCAGCAGAAAGAATATTTAGATAAGGTATACATGTTCAGGTCAGCAGAGTCTGATGAAATTCATTATAGGACACTTCAGAAACAAACTGAAGCAACCTTGGCATCATTAGGTATTGTCTGTGAGAACTCCTTGGGATTGGACAAGGTCCCAGAAGACTGGAGAAGGGTAAGCATAATACCAGTCTCTAAAAGAGGAACAAAGAGGACCTGGAGAATTATAGACCAGTCAGCCTAACAATTGGTGTGTAGTATCAGAGGAGTAGCCATGTTAGTCTGGATCTGCAAAAGCGATGAGGAGTCCTGTGGCACCTTATAGACTAACCGAAGTGTTGGAGCATAAGCTTTCGTGGGCAAAGACCCACTTTGCAAGATGCATGTAGTGGAATTTCAAGGGTCAGGTATAAATATACAGGCATAAGAAAAGAGTTTCAATCAAGAGTAAGGCTGGAGATAACGAGGTCAATTAAGGCAGGGAGGAGGAGGTCCACTTCTAGCAGCTGATGTGGAGGTGTGAACACCAAGAGAGGAGAAACTGCTTTTGTATTTGGCTAGCAATTCACTGGATGGCTGTGTCTACACTGGGCCACTTATTCCGGAAAATCAGCTGCTTTTCCGGAATAAGCTGCGAGCTGTCTACACTGGCCCTTCGCTCTACTGTACAAAATCAGCCGCTATTCCGGAAAAACTATTCTGCTTCCTCTCGGGCATAAGTCCTTATTCCGGAACACTGTTCCGGAAAAGGGCCAGTGTAGACAGTCCAGTAGTCTTTTCCGGAAAAGCGCGTCTACATTGCCCACAGACGCTTTTCCGGAAAAAGGGCTTTTCCGGAAAAGCAGCCTGCCAATGTAGACACTCCTTTTCCGGAAAAACTGAAAACGGAATAGTATTCCATTTTAAGCAGTTCCGGAAATTCATGCCAGTGTAGACACAGCCTCTTTGTTTAATTCTGAGATGATAGTGTCAAATTTGCAGATGAACTGTAGCTCAGCAGTTTCTCTTTGGAGTCTGTCCTTGAAGTTTTTTTGTTGCACGATGGCTACCTTTAAATCTGTTACTGTGTGTCCAGGGAGATTGAAGTGTTCAATGTGTAAGCATTCTAAGGAAAATAGGTTTATAAGGAATAGCCAGCATGGATTTGTCAAGAACAAATCATGCCAAACCATCTTAATTTCCTTCTTCGATAGAGTACAGGCCTAGTGGATATGGGGGAAGTGTGACATGGCATGTATTGATTTTAGTGAGGCTTTGACACAGTTCCACATGAGCAAACTAGGGAATTTCTGTATAGCCACACAACTGGTTGAAAGACTATACTCAAAGAGTAGTTAACAATAGTTTGCTGTTAGACTTCGGAGGGTGGATCTAGCATAGTCCTGAAAAGGTCAGTCCTAAGTCCAGAATTATTCAACATTTCACTAATGAGTTGGCCAATGGAATGGAGAGTAAAACCAGGTAGCCAGCAGCCAATAGAAATGTAGGTAGGAATTTCAAACTGGGACATAGGTACCCCCAAAACCTTATCTCTCCAGGCTTAGGTATAAAACTTCCCCACAAAATCTTAAAAACCTAAATTTTGGGATAAAAATCCACTGCCACCACCCAAGTCATGATAAAGAATACAGGGGAGAGATCACTTGGGAAATTGCACCCCTAAAGTAAAACCAGGACACAAAAATTAACCAATACCAGGTTAATAAAAAAAAAGAGAAAGAACTTTTATTATCACCACAATACTCCTGTTACAAGCATAATGACTAGATGGGAAAGTCACCAATTAATAAACTCATGGGAAATTCCACCAGTGGCCAAAACTTAGTTACAAAGGAGAAAAAAACATTTTTAAATGCACAGACATCAGATTCCCATTCCCAAACCATAAAACAATAAAACCTTACAGATTTATCTAAACCAGTGGTCCCCAACCTTTAGAGGCTGCCGGGCGCCAGGGGGCGGGGACACATGCACGCTCGGGGGCGGACAAACTCATGGGAAATTCCACCAGTGGCCAAAACTTAGTTACAAAGGAGAAAAAAACATTTTTAAATGCACAGACATCAGATTCCCATTCCCAAACCATAAAACAATAAAACCTTACAGATTTATCTAAACCAGTGGTCCCCAACCTTTAGAGGCTGCCGGGCGCCAGGGGGCGGGGACACATGCACGCTCGGGGGCGGAC